ATCTAGTACTTATTGTAAGGTTCCGTAAGAGTGCATTACTTTCTGGTCTCCTTCACAAGGATATAATCCTATGAGGCCAGGGGCTGTAATCACCTTCAGCATAGCATCCTCAGCCCTAAAACTCAATGCCTGGCACACAACAGGGACACAGCAAATATCTGCCAAATGAATGAATAGCTATGAAGGTGCCTATGGTGCTGACTTAGATATAAAGTATATACAAAACAGGTTTCTCTAGTCATGGCTGGAGCCTCTCCATGACACGGAGCTTTTGAGGAGCCTTTAAAAGAGTTTTTGAAGGCTATACTTAGGTTGTGAACGGAATCTTAATGAATGTAACATCATGTGGCCTCGTGGCTGTCCTAAAACGGGTTAATAGTATTAGTTATTTAATAACTATTATATCACTTAACAAGTTGCAAAATGGCTTCACATGTATCTCATTCGACCTGTTAGTAACAGTCCTGAGAAGTAATTGTTAGAGAAAGGTGGAATGATGCTTTCATAGCAATGAAGTGATAAGGCTAAGATCCACACATGTGTTCTGTCCAGCAATCCTGAGCCTTCCCCACCTCCTCCCAGTCTTCCTAAGATTTAATGATTGCCTCGCATTCTTGAGTTGGCGGAGGCTAAAATTAGAGGGGTCAGTCAGAGCTTTCGAGGATCAGCCTAGTAAGTCACATCGTGGACATCTCCTCTGATTACTCTTGACAGCCGGATGGTTGGAATTACGAAGACCGGGCTGGTCAGCCTACAGGACACCAAATGGGTGAACAGCCTTTTTAATAGCTTTCTCTTCCCAAGTCATTGTCCCGGACTTTACACACAGGCTTCCTGCATCATAAAAGTTTGCTCAGGGTGAAACTGTTGAACATTTCCCCAGAAAGTGACCAAAAAATTCCTGCGCTGGGTCAGTGTCAAAGAGATTGATAAGTTAGTACCAGAATGATCCCTAGTCAGAGTTTGCTAGTGACTTGGTTGGTCTGTTTGATTTCAGGGAAAGCAAACGAAAGACAAGCGGCCAAATATTTGCTAAGGTCCCAGCTTCGCTCAGACAACAAACCTGTAGGGAGTGTGACAGTTCCTCTTTAAACCCCTGTGCGGCCTACAAGACCCAGAGCAAATGCCACCTCTTTTGACAACCCCCTCCATTGCACTCTGTGCTAACTCATCTCAGAGTCCTTACTGCACCAGATTTTAACTATTTGCGTGTCAGTTTCATGTCAGTTTCCCCCAATGACTCAGAGTTCTTCAAGAACAGGGCCGTGCCTTTCATCTCTGTTTGAAAGAAAAATGTTGGCTATCAGAGATGAGTCCCAGAAGCTCAGAATATAGTCCAGTGGCTTTCAAACATTTTTGATCATAGCGTACAGTAATACATTTTATATAATGATCCAATAACAAATATACATACAATGTATACATACATTGTATGTATGTATACAAATATATGTATGTATATATAAATATATATACATACATATATGTACAGTATCTCTCTCAAGCTAGACCATGTCATCCCCTCCCTAGCATCTACGGGCTGGGGATGTAGACCAACAGCAGCATAGCCTGAGCAGGAGAGGTTGAACAGGGTAGATTTTGCATGGAGACTTCTGCTGTAGGCTGAGGTACTGCCCTCAGAAGTACGTGGAAGCACTTGGGGTGTTGCTGTGTCTGCAAAAATGAGAACCCTTGAACCAGCTGACATTGCGGTTTCATTTGCCTTCCCAGTGCTTGGCAAAGAAAAGGGTATGTTTACTGACTATTGCTTAAATGAGAAAGGAATTGGTGGCATGTGATATAGAAACTGAGTTTTATCAGAGCCCCCCTGGAAAGCAATGCCAGTGAAGATCCTAGATGCCTGCAGCCCAGAACTGAAATCTTCTCTCCTACTTGGAGACCAAGACATCTTTTCTCAGCTGCTTTGGCAATTGATATCACAGGTGAAGATTATGATGATGATGATTATAGCTGACAATAAATAAATATTATGTGCTTATCTAAGCATTCTTCTAGGTCTTTTATAGATGGCCATTTAGTTTTATTCTCTTGTCAAGAAGTTCTATTTTAATTTCATTTTACGGATGAGGAAACTGAGGCAGAGAGGTGATATAACTTGCCCAAGGAGAAACAGTTCCTAAGTGGCAAAGCCAGGATTTGAAAATAGGATCATCTGTGTAGCTAAAAAAAAAGAAAAAGAAAAAGAGAAAGGGATCGCTAGAATGAGAGACACACTGGCTCATCCACTGAATCCAGTGAGTTTTCTTTTCTCTTTTTGTTATTATCTAAGACATTATTCCTTTATATAACAAATCTTAAGGAACATGCCCTGTGTCTTTTTTGTTTTGTCTGTAACTGGTTTAGAGGTGGACATGTTACCCAGTTCTGCTGGAGCCTTCTGAAGATTTTCTCCCGTGAAAATCCCACTCGGCCGCAAAAGTGGAGAAGAAAGGCGGCTGTTACTTGGATGCGATGCTTGGTGGTGCTGTTGAGCCACCCCATTCCCTCCCAGAAGTGCCTACCCCTGTATTTCTTATTAATGAGATTAATAAACCGTTTTTAGTTAGATATTCAATTGTCACTCAGACAGTCTCCATTTCATTATCCTGATATTCTTCCTTCATAGCTCTTATCACTATCAGAAAGTGTCTTATTTATTGATTATCTTCCTTACCTGCCTACACCCCATGCCCTCTTCTGGAATATATCCTGAGAACAGGCCACTTACCTCCACTGTTTACTGCTCTGTCCTAGGGCCTACTCCATGTCTGGCCAAAGAGCTGGGAAATCTAAAGGAGCTGTGCCTTATAAAGTTGTTGTGGTGAATCTAGTCTCAGATTCTCCCCACCACTCCCAAACTTTCATAAGTAAAAATAGAAAATCTATCATTTTCAACTTGTTTTAAAAAGAGATTGCTTGTTTTTAAAAGAAATTTAAACCAGGAAATCCTGTTTTTAAGGAATACCTGAGTTTTTGTTTGGTTATACAAATGTAAGCAAGGGACATTGTTTGGGGAGGTAACCAAATACAGATGTTTTAAAAGAAGCTGTGGCCTTTGTTCTGGGTTGGTGAAGTCCATTGCACATGTTTGAAAGAACCCTATTTCTAAAGACTTGGTCACTTCTCTGTGTGACCAAGTGATTTGGTGCTGGCTCCTGGGGGGTTAAGAGTGCTCTTCTGGGAGGAGTTGCTTGCAGAAAGGATGTGCAGCCCCAATCATCCCCACCTGCTAAAGGAACAGAGCCGGACTTGGCTTGTTCAATTCAGGACTGGCCTGTTTAGAGTCCCTCAGGATGGACTCTTTACAAATCGTAATCAAGTTAGAATATTGTTTCAGTGTGAATGTCCTATGAGCTTGAACAATTGAAAATGTCCTGTGTTAGGACATTATAGTCCTAAACAACCATGTAAACAAAAAATGTACTTATGCTAGACTTGTGTTCTGATGTGGTTGTCCATTCATGTGGGGGGGCATGGGGAAGAAAGACTCTCCCTAGTGAAAAGCAGAAATGACTACTGTCAGTAATCCTAGGAAGAGGGAAATCTTGGGGTGAGAAATGAAGGCTAGAGAGATGGGCACCAGACTAGGGTGAGGAGAGAAATTCCTCTCTCCTTTAGGATAGGGGTCAGCAAAGTTTTTCTGTAATGATCTAAATAATAGCTTTTCTAGACCTTGCTAAATGTTAACTGAGCTCAAAAGATTTAGGAGTTTTGGCTAGAAATAAATGATTTATTCAAGGGTCTTAGGATTTACAAATCAGTAACACAACTAGGCAATATCTAGAGTGTTCCAAAAGGAAAAGATGAGGATTCTCAGAGTAGAAAGTACATTCTTGAGAAGAATCAGTTCTACCTTCTTCTCCCTCAGATCAGTTCAAATGGTAATCGTCATATGTGTGGTGGTAATTGTCAGATGTCCAGTGGTTTAGACGATGGAACATTTTCTTTTTGGGGTCATTCAGATGGTTAACTAGATGTTTGATGTACAACCGGTCGTTAATGCTCAAAGCACTGATATGCATCTAGTTCTGGGAAGTTCAAAAATTCAAGTTCCTAGAGTCACTTAAAAATAACTGTTTCCCTCTGCCTCAGCCCACTTGAAGTTAATAATTTAGCAGCTTGACCACAGTGACTCTGTTTTATTTCTTCACTCTATTCCTCACAGACCATGCAGACAGTTGCTATCATAACTACTCAATGCTGGCATTATAGCACAAAAATAGCCACAGACGATACATAAATGAATGGCTGTGGCTCTGTCCCAATAAAACATCACAAAGCAGGCAGCAGGCTGGATTTGGCTCATGGGCTATAGTTTGTTAATCTCTGTTTTAGAGCATTGTGGTGATGGGGTTTAGGAGCCAGAGAGGGTAGGCATGGGATGTAAGCTAACTCCAAGTAGATGCTTGGTCAAGAGCTATGCCAACAGACTACCTTCCAGGACCCTCTAAGGATGTGGGCTCTGAAGACACCTGTTTCTCATAGCAGCTATAAGATAGTGTTTGTTATCTCCTTTGCTAACTCCTAACTTCTCTTCAGGTAAAAGTCACAGCCTTGGCTTAGGTGTATTGAGGGAAGTAAGAGAAGGGCCTGCTTCATACTTAGGACCTTGGAGCAAAGAGGACAGCTGTTCTCTGCCCCCAGAGGCAGTGGTGGTACTAGTGGACCCCAGCAGAGGACAGAGTCTCCAGAGAAGGCAACAGTTGAAGAGCAGGAGAAGCCTGTTCCTGGGAGAGAAGGAGGCAGCAGGCCCTCTAGGAAATGAATACTAAACAATTTCAGGCACTTCTCTATAGGGATGTGAGGGCTTGAGCCATCATAACTGGAATGCTTAAGGAAAATCAGATTTTCTTTTGTAATCACAGGCAGTGAAGACTAGACACAGACTAGTTGGCCAACCAATTGTTCCTCGGTTGACTGATGGCTACAACCCTGTCCTAGATGAACCATTGAGGCCCCAGCCATTAACCTCTACTTAGCACAACAACTGAAGTCAAATGGGTAAATCAGAGGAATTGCTTTAATTGGGATCACAAGGTGTCATTCGGAGCTCCTCAGCTTCTGCCCCACCAGGAAGAAAAGTCCTTTGTTGTTGGCTCTGGTGGAAGAATAACTTTGAGGTATCACCTCAAATTGTTTGATGGTGTAGCCAGCCTCTCTCACAGCAGCCTTTACTTCCTCCTGGCGCAGGCACAGGCTGGAGAACCTCTGCTCGCCAATCATGTAGTAGCTGCTCTCCAAGGCGTCTATGATCACCAGGTAGCCCCCTGGCTTCAGCAGGCTGCTGAGGTTTCTGAGGGCTGAGTGGTAAGCAGGAAGGTCTGGGCAGGCGGCGTCCAGGCACAGCGTGCTGAGCAGGCAGTCAGCCAGGGGCAGCGAGACAGCACCCAGTGGCCGGCTCTGCGTCACATCACACTTCAGGACCTGCTTGATTGCCCGCCTCAACTTTTCCTCCTTCTCTGGCCCCTTCGCTCTGAAACAGAAAAACTAACCAACACCTTGCTATCCTACTCGTGGGGACCCCAGATCCCTTTGGGCAGAGCTGAAAATGACAGTGTTGTCCCAAATGCTATATCCCCAGGGCCATCGCTGTTGTAAAAGCAGAGAAAGGAGAAATGAGGGACCATTTTAGTATCTGAATGTGACCACATTCAGATTTAACCTATGCTGGGTTAAATCTCTTTATAAAGTGAATAATGACACGAAAATAATAAAAATACTTGATTTTACACTGGGGGCAGTGTAGAATTATTCTTCCTCCACTGCTTATAATAGTGCCTTCCACATTTATTATTATTAATTGTTATGACTCTGATCCTCTCTTCCAAATTCCAAGGTAGTGGCCATTTGACCCATACATATCAGGTAATAGTGGATTTAAAATGCTGAAATGGTATTTTTTAGTAGCTGTTGATCGATGAAGGGAGTGGGGTCGTCTTAGAAATTTTCAGATACTGTTGATCACTATCTTAAAGCTGTGGCCACGGCCCCCTTAGAGAAAACTACTAGTTGCCTTTCTCGGGTTCCAAAACATATTGCAGAAAGAATGTTTTCTGAAAAAGATTATTTTCTTGGTAGCCTTGCTAGGATTTCTATCCTTTTCTACCAAATCAATGGGGCTTCTTGAGAAAAAAAAAAACAGTTAGTGAAAGGAGCATCACAGGCAAGGACAGGAGATGGAATAGAGTGCCTTGGATCATTTTAGAATTTGTTAGGGGAGGAATGAAGGAACAAACAGACAAATGAACAAAATTAAACAAACATAGAATATATAATAATAATTGGAGAAACAGATAAAGAAGAAAGAAGTAGCATTAAATCAGAGAGGGAAGAGAAAAGGAAGAAATGAGTGTGTAAAGTGCCCAGGAAAACCATAGAACTCAAATAATAGGAGTGATGACTGGGTATCCAGCCTTTTGAAGAAGTTAATCAACAAAGCACCGGGGATGCAAATCCAGACTTACATTCAGAGAACACACAGTCCCTTGGCTCTGGGAGAAGACAGTTATGTGGGCAACAAGGCTAGATGGAGAGAGCAGAGGATGGCCTAACATCGGAGCAGGTGAGAGAGAGTCTAACACTGGGACAATTTATAGTCGTGACGAAAAGTCGATGGTTTAAATAGAACTTGGAGATTTACCTCCTGGTAGAATGATTTGAGATAGTAATAATTTGTTGTGGGCAACCTATTTAAATATTTAGTTAAAAATCTTACCTAGTACATATAATCAGTTTTTTACAAATATCCTTTATGTTTATTATAATTTTCCATTTAAGAAGCTTAGCAATAAGCATATGAAAAGATGCCCAACATCTGTGGCCATCAGAGTAATGCAAATCAAACTATGAGATACCACTTCATACCCGCTAGGATGGCTAGAATAAAAAAGGCTGATAATAACAAGTGTTGACAAGGATGTGCAGAAACTAGAACCTACGCACATTGCTGGTCAGAATGTAAAATGCTCCAGCTACTTTGGAAAACACTCTGGAAGTTCCCAAAAGTTTAAACATAGAGTTACCACATGACCCAGGAATTCTACTCATAGAATTTTACCTAAGAGAACTAAAAACATATGTTCACACAAAAACTTGTACATAAGTATTTATAGCAGCATTACTCATAATAGCCAAAAGATGGAAACAACCCAAATGTCCATCGACTTATAAACAGATAAATAAAATGCGGTATATCTACACAATGGACTATAATTCAGTAATAAAAAGGAATGAACAATTGATACGTGCTACAACGTGGAAGAATCTTGAAAACACTATGGTCAGTGAAAGAAGCCAGATACAGAAAGCCACATATTGTGTGATTCAATTTATACGAAATGTCCAGAAAAGGCAAAGCAGACCAGTGGTTTCCAGGCAGTGAGAGGATGGAGGAAATAGGAATGAGTACTAATGGGTACAGGGTTCATGTGGAAAGTTATGAAAATGTTCTAAGATGGTGGTGAGGATTACACAACTCTGTGAATACACTAAGAACTATTAAATTACACACTTTAAATGGGTGAATTACATGCTATGTGAGTTGTATCTCAGTAAAGTCATTATGAGAGAGAGAGAGAGACAGAGACAGAGACAGAGAAAGAGACAGAGACAGAGAAAGAGAGATGGTTCCGGGGAATTTCTACCAACCAATAAACTGGTGTACACAGGGAATAATAATTAATTCTGACTGGCTCTCCTTGCTCCCCTATCAAGGGCAGAAATGGTAGTAGGGTGACCAATTTGTCCCAATAGATCTGGGCTTTTGTTTTCTCACTGAAAATCTCAGGTGCTAAGAACGCCTCTCAGTCCTGGGCAACCAGGAAAGTTAGTCATTCTAAAAGCAGGGAAATCAGTTACAAAGCTGCCACCCAGCCTAATAGAACATGGATAATTTGACAGAACATTTTAAGAATAAAAAAGAATTTAACATTATGGAAGTCTGTATGAAACACAGATTTGAATAGGTAAATTAATCTAGAATAGAAAAATTTCAAATAACCTATCTGCACATATGAATAACTTAAGTGTCCCCAACAAGCCAAAGAAGTGATAACATGATGTTTTTCTGAATGTGTTTAAAGATGATCTATGCTGAGAATATTTGGGGAAGGTGTATTTAAGTGATTGCATCAGAAGCAGTTTGGACCTCTGTGCCCTATTGTGTATGAAGTTATTTTAAAGACACAAGTTGCCACAGAACTAGTACTTGCCAGTCAGATGATGACGGAAATTGTTCCCAAACTGTGAGACACACTGTGAAGTCTAGAAAGCTCACAGAGAATGTGCCAATTTGAGAGGGAAATTTGTTAGAAACACCCACAGTTGTGGATACCTGCTTGTCCTTGGACGTACAGCAAACATTGGTGAACTCAGTTGCCAAGGCAGCTGTGTAAAGATTACACCTCAGGGCTCCTCAGAGCCTAAAAGTTCACCTGGGGAGAAATGGACTCGCCTGGAGACACAGGCAATTACCACTCAGCCTCACATTTAGCTCAAGGGGTAGAGAATAAACACACACCAGAAAAGTGTTATACAGTTTTACAGAAAGCTAAAAGCAGTGTGGCCATTTCTCTAGTTCCAAAGATCTACTCTTTCAAATGAATCAATATGCAAAAAAGGCAGCTATTTCCTCTATAAATCCGCTATCTATAAAAGCCTGAGGGAGCGGGGGAGGGAGGAGAGGAATAGAAGGATGAAGAGTAGCACTCCTGGGAAGAGCACTTTGAAGAATGTCTTTCCTTACCCCAGGTAATTATCCTGAGGTTTAGAGGAGCTTTCTCCTGCCCTGTCTCTACAAGGCGGGTGGTGGATCAGAATTGCCTAGACAAGCTTTTTTCTAATACGCTCACCTCCCCCAAGCCCCATCCCCTGAGGTTCCAGCTGGGCCTCCTGCGGGAGAACCATCAAAACGTGTAAAGGAAATAAAAAACTAGATAAGCTTGGATGTCAGTGTAAGAATTGTAAGAGCAAGGAATAATCGTTGGTAAACCTTTGACAGGCCACAGCTGAATCAGGTAAAAGACATTCTGTGAGGGAGAGTCTGGAAAAAAAAGGCGAGCAGTCATTCATTTTACAAATATTTTTGAACCTCCATTATGTGCCGGGAAGAGTGTTGGGCAGTGGGGCCCCAAAGAGAAACAAATGAGAAACAGATCCTGTCCTCCTAGAGTATACAGCCTTGTGAGGGAAAAAGAATCCACATGATCATCCACAAAAATGAAAAATTAAAGCTGTGATAAATTGATACATGCTAGGAAGGAGAGGAACACGGCACTAATGGAAGAATGTTGGGAGCTTGACTTGGTCTAGAGTATCAGAAAAAACTCTTCCAAAAAGGGGTCAGGTAAGCAGAGATAAAGAGGATAAATAACAGGTTAACTAGGCCAAAAAGAATTAGGAGGGGAGGAGGGTATCCCAGTAAGAAGAAATAGTAAGTGCGAAGGCATGGACCTGCAAGGCCTTCGTGCAAAGCCATGTGGTGGGAGGAAACAGAGAGAGGAGAATGCCGATGAGGCTGAATCTCAAAAAGCAAAACAGAGCACGGGGGAAAGCGAGGCAAATGGAGTCAGCAGGTGCCAGACAAGGCAAGGCTTTGTGGACCATGTTACGAATTTTGCTTTTTGTTCTGAAAGCCAGGGGAAGTCATTAAGAGGCGCTAAGGAAGGGAGTGATGTGATCAGATTTACATTTAGAGTTAATTATGTTGGGATGAGAGTGGAGGTGGGAGGCCAGTTAGGAAGGAGAGAATGCTATCTTGGCCCAGGTAATGGAAGATATTGGAAGAAAGATGCTGGTTCAAGAGAAACTCAGGAAATAAAATCAACAGAACTTGGTGCTAGTTATGGAACATGATGGAGAGGGAGATGACAAGGTTGGCCCCCAAGGTTTTGGTTTGTCCAATTAATCGTAGGATGGTGCCATTCAAGGAGATGAGAACAACAGAAAAGGAGCAGAGTTGGGGAAGGTTATAGCTCAATTTGGGGCACATTGAGTTTGAGACATGCAAGTAGAATGTTTGCAATTGGAAGGAAATGGCCAGTTAAAGCGTTTTCAACCTGCCCTGTTAAATTTCCCTGAGAGATAATAAGTGAGAGCACTTATTTAAGAGAAAGGCGTCTTTACAAAAGGCAGGAACTTTTTCTAGGCATCCTCATGACCATCAAACTCCTGATTTTGAGAAAGAACATCAATCTTTTACAAGACATAAAAATACAGAGGTGCTTTGGAATCAAGGCAGTTCACTAATTCAGGAAACAAATTTGGCACAGCTGTGTCTATTTGGGGCCACAAACATCTTTTTAAACAGATTGAAAGTCTTTGTATAGAGAACATTTACTTCAGATATACCACCTCAGCAGGTGTTCAGGCTTTCCGCTATCAGGTACATTGAGGTAAGTGGGGGAGATGCTCTCTGTAGAGGCAACCAAAAGACGGGCTGCAGCCTTTCCAGGCTCCTCTGGCTGCCCTGAGGGCAGAGAACAACTCACAGAACACACCTGTCATTCACTCCCACCACCGGCATGCCCTGGCATACCTGCTGGGAAGCTCTGTTCTAGACACCAGTGCTTCTCAAACTGTAAACTGCATATAGGCCCCTGCAGAACTTGTAAAAATGCAGATTCTGATTCTGTAGGTAAGGAGTGGGGCCCAAGAGTCTGCATTTCTAACAAGCTCTCGGGTGATATAGAAGCTACTAGTCTGGGGACCATAAGGCGATGTGTTCCAAGATCCAAGAGCCAGAGGTTAATTAAGGCTGTTTCTAGGGGGTAAAATCTCATTTTTCTCGATTCATGCTTGAGTAGTTAGTTATATATCAGTTTTTGACATTCTGGCTAGATAAATGGATAATATGAGGCAAGAATTTGGTGTCAGTGTCTTCCAACTTTTAGGATAGTTGTAAAAATGAGTGGTATCTAAATGTATGAGTCATACTCCGAAGGCAGAGTAACAGGCGACAGTTCAAATTGTCTTTGGCAACAGTCAGCACAAGAAATAGCTTCAGATAAAGGAGAATTAATCTCAGGAGAAATAGTTCGTGGGTTGATAGAGGTACTTGAAGATGCAAGAAAGACATAAGTTGAATAAAATCACTATCATTCTCAAAATAGTTGAAGCCACAGGATCTGGCAGAAGGATAAGGGTGAGAACGCAGAATTTTTCTGCCAAAAATATGTGTTTTTTTTGTCTAACAGAGCAATTGGGAAGGGACAGTGTCTTAGGAGCCAACTGCTAATAGCTGACGATTCTGGCATGAAGTAAGTAATGCTTTTAGTAGCCTGCTAGATTTTAAAGGTTTGTTTCTGAATGAGGTGGAAAGTCTTCTGATGGCTAGGAAAATAGAGAAGAAAATTATAAAAGCCTTCTTGACACATGATTTGGACTTCAGAAAGGTGTGTTTTCTGACCACGACTAAGAACTTTTTTATAAACTTTCTGTGAAATTCTATAAATCCTGGGAAAGTCCTTATTTATTTAGTAATGTTAGATATTATCCCAACCCTCATAGCTACAGTTATTTTTCTAGTTATCACTAATTTCATTCTGTAGAATCATGTCGTTAATAGAAAAGAAAAGTTTTACATTACTCTTATTTTGAAGAACATATCTTTAGTTCAAAGACAAAATTCTAAGTACGGAGTTTAGAGGTTAAAAATGGCATATGAAAGTAGCCTCTCTTCAACTTCTTACTAAATGCCAAGAAAAAAATGGAGCAATATTTAAGCAATATTAAACAATTTTACTGTGTTGTTCATGTGATGTGCAACAAAAACACATTCCTATGTATGCTTGGGCTTAGGAAATACGTCACTTATGGGTACTTCTTGAAAAAAATTGTTCGAGGACCTATTCAGTTGACTAAGAGATGAATCAGAATTAAAAACTCAAACACCTATAAAAATCATATTAAATGAGCATAAAATATGTCCACATAATTGCAAATATAATTACAAATTGAAAGCAAATGTCCAAATTAGTCTTGAAAGAAAGCAGAAAAATAATACTTTAAGTTATAATATTTAGATTTTAAAATCTCAGATTTTAACAATAAACATTGGGAAGAAGGATGCCAAAAGGACTTTGTTAAATTGTTAAATTCTTCATACTACAAGAAAGGAAAAGAATTACTGATTCTCAGTAAGCTGAGAGAATTTGTCTCCAGTAGACCTGCATTATAACATATACTAAAAGTTCTTCAGGTGAAGGGAAATAATGCCAGATAGAAGCTAGATCTACAGAAAGGAATGAAGAATACTAGACAGGACAGATATGTGAGTAAATATATGTATTTGTTAAAAAAAAAAAAGCCACTGATGGATGTAGATATACTAAAAATTACTAAACTATACATAGTTAAACATAGTTAGGATGGTAAATTTTATGGTATGTGGGTTTTTTAAACCACAATTAAAAATAAAACAAAAGCCCCAAATAAATAAAAGCACTACTGACTGCTTAAAGCAAAAATAATAACAATGTATTATAGTGTTATAGTATACATACAGCAAAATATATGACAGCAAGTGCATAAGGGGTTGGAGAGTGGATAAGGAGTTGTACTGTTATAATACCTTTCATTGTTCGTGAGGTAATAGATATGTTAAAAATATATGTTATTTGTAGAAAAATCACGTTCTCACACACACACTCACATAAAACACAAGAGAGGTCAATAGAGGAAATAAAAGTCAATAGAAGAGATGAAAAGGAATATAAAAGCGTGTATACTTATACCAAATGGAATACCAAAAATTATCCCATTCACCAAGGAAAAGCAGGAACAAAAGGCAAAATAAATACAAACAGATAAGACAAATAGAAAATATATACCAGGATGGTAGGTTTAGATTCAACCATAAATGTCAGTATTTATATGTAAATCAAATAAACAATCCACTTAAAAGGCAGAAGTTGTCAGATTGGATTGAAAAGCGAGACCTAGAACATGCTATTTCCAAGAAAAACACTTTCTTTAAATATAAAACCAGACAAGTGTGGAGAGATAAACCAGGCTTATGGACTGGAGATTCAATAAATCTACTCTCCTAAATTGATTTGTAAATTCAAAGAAATCATAACCAAAGTCATAGGAGGCTTTTTTGGAGAAATCGACAAGCTTATTCTAAAATTAATGGCACTAAATTTGCCAAAATATTCTTGTAAAAGAACAAAGTAGATTCACACTATCTGATTTCAACACTTAACTATCTCTGGTAAACGAGATAAAAGACCAGTGTAAACTCAGTGAAAATTTAGTGACTCTACATGATAGCAAAAAGATTAATTGGGAACAAAATATAAAACTTCTAGTTTATTCTATATTATAAAGAATTGTACCACCAATGAGTCACCTTGGTTACTTCCATTTGACAATCCACATCTACGAATGAGACAATGTAGCAACAATATGTAAAAACTGAATATAAAGTTTAGAATACTCTTAATAAGCTCGAAGTTAGCAGATCATTAAAAGAAAATGGAGGTGGTTAAAGACATAGAAGCAGACATTAGCATTAGCTTCAGAAGGGAAACTGACTCAGGAATAAAGACAAGTTGGTGACTAGATGGTATTCAAATAAAGTGCAAATATAGGAAAATGAATTGACCATCACTCCAGAAGAAGAGCATGGAGGCGGCATATTCCTTAGGGACATATTAAGACCACGCGGTCTTGTATTTTTCCCTGGAATTCAGGAATATTGCCTCGGTTCTCTTGTTGTTCAAGTTCAGAAATATGAGAGTCACCCTTGATACATGATACCAATTCTTATCCATCCTATCTCAAAAATGCACCTTAAAATTATCTACTTCTCTTCATCACCTAGTTCAAACCACCATCATCTCTAACCTGGAGTTAAATTGTCTCCTTTCTGCACCTCTCATTCTCCTCCAGACCCCTCTAATCCATATTCTCCATACAATAGCCAGAGAGTTCTTTGTAAATGTAAATTGTGTCACATCACTTTCTTGGTTATACCTCTAATGCATTCTTGCTATACTTGAAGTCCGCAATCTTTAACTTGGCCTTGAGGCCCGAAATGATCTATCACTTGCTTGCCTTCCCTGGTGTGAGTTCTAGGAGACGAGGGACCTCCTCTGCCTTATTTACCATTCTATCTCAGTAGCTAGTACTGTGGCACATCATAGGTGATCGACATAGGTTTGTTAAAAGAATGAAGAAATGCTAGTTCCTTTAACCATGAGCCAGAAGTGTTAGCGCTTGTTTCATGAGAGAAATCGTCTTCCTAGGAAATAAGAGCCCTTTCCTGACCAAATCCTGGGATATGTTAATTAAATATATATAT